GGGTCCTCGTGGTTGAAAGGGTTTGAATATTTCGTCCATCTACGGTAGTAGTCACAGGTGCCTTACTAGTAGGAACAAGTGCCTTACTAGTAGCAACAAGAAGCTAGTAGAAACAAGTGCCTTACTAGTAGTAACAGGTGCCTTACTAGTAGGAACAAGTGCCTTACTAGTAGTAACAAGAAGCTAGTAGAAACAAGTGCCTTACTAGTAGTAACAAGTGCCTTACTAGTAGTAACATGTGCCTTACTAGTAGGAACAAACCTTCGTCAGTTTTGTTTTCGTTTTGCACTTCAGCCACTCTGTTGACCCCTTGGAAGCCGCACCCGCCCTCACTGAAATCGCTGGAGATATGCTCAAGACTAACTCAGCCCAAGTTCAAGCTTTCAGAAGCGTTTGCACGAAACTTTCATGCCCATTCTGCTTGGAACTCTTGACCATCCATCAAACTGTGGAGCTGGCTAAGAGCAGGAGCATCTCCAGGAGGTCATACCAGGCCTGGCAAAAGGATCATGCAGGCCATCATTGTAGGAAAACACAATTCCATAAAGGCACGTCTTGCTTCCCACCAAAAACAATCTCGAGAGAATGTAAGAGGACCAAGATCATTTCATCCAATCCTGCCAGACTGACAGCAAATGTGAAGCAGCACCAGCCTATCGCCAATGCAGTGCCTCGATGTTTCTGAACAAGGACAAAATTGATCTTGGACAAAGCCTGGCAACACCTGCAGCAACCCTCTCCCACCTCATCGGAGAGCTGACATATTCTAGGTGGCTGTGGTTTCACATGGTTTCATCTATCACAGGCATTGATTCAATGATGAATCATAGTTGTCTGCAGTGATCTTCCAGGAATCAATGCTTAAATGCAATGTTCACTGTTCTCGTAGTCACGTTAGAAACTTTGCAGTTGTGTCATTCCAAGTGCGAATGTCATTGCTTCTTGCTACATGAGCCAATATTGTAGCCTTCAGTGCCAAAAACAACATGGGCCTCAAGGCACCACCTTGAGCCTTCACACGGGACCACCTAACCACACCCCCTTTCTGACCACATTATGCGTGGCCCCTCCTTGACCTTCATTCCATATTGAATATTTATATAAATAACAATGCATTACATGTGTTGTTTGTGTTGCGACTATCATCAATCAATTATTGTGTTGTACTCTTTAAGATCAAACTGTTCATTCAATTTTCCCAATTTCAAGTGTCAATCCAAAAACATAATGATCTTGGTAATAATATAATTGGAAATCATATCAATATAATAATATAACATGTTGTTTTCATGTCTTTTCTTGTTCAAAGATTCGTTGGACTCTTAGGCCACTCGCAGTAGTAGATTCAATAATCCTTAGAATGCAGCGGCTGTGTGTTCCGCCTAGCCGGCGCCTCTCGTCTGAGGTGCTGGCATCTGCGCCCCTCGCAGAAAACGGCGATTGATCGGCAGCTCCTTGAGAGTGCTGGCCCACCTAAACGAATTGAAACAGGCCTCCGAGCGGCCTCCAACCAAATAGTGGCGATCAAGATTTTTGTCCAGTCTCCCAAAGGTTGCCACGTTTCTTAAAACCAATGAGAAGGACATGACCATCATCGTATCATCAAGCACGACTGCATGACGCATGCTTTGCTCCCGCACGAGCCTGGTCTTGACCTCCAACTGCTTGCCCTTCCACAAAGGCACAACTTTCACAGCCTTTCCTTCCATTGGATCGACCTCAATCTCAATCTACACGCAAAAGCAAGCGTTCATGGAGGTAGTGTGTGTGGTGGCTAGCTTCGAAAGAAGAGCGCTCTGTCTGCTGCCAGGCCCTGAGAAGGACACAGAGTCTTGCTCTGCACCATTCAAGAAAATGGTCCTGAGATCTTTAACACTTGAGTCACTTAAGCCCAGTCATGTCCAGTCTACAGTGACAACATCATCATCAACAACCTGAACCAGTCATACCAATAAACTGTGAAGTTCGACTACTCCTCTCTGACCAAGTGCCGACCAAACACTGCTTTGAGTTCCAAGTCTATCCAAGCGTGTTGCATGGCACCTACTCAGCAACCGGCGAAGTGGCTGTCCCCTTTGGGGAGATCACCGTAACCTGTCGCAGCACTATCCACACAATCCAAATGGACCCAATAGTGGCTGGGACCTCTGAAGAATCACACTTAATTAAAGTGAGGCCTTGAACTCTTCATCTTGGTGTTCTATGATTTGCTTCATCACGCGCACACCTAAAAGGCCGAAGCATCCTCTGCAAAGTACTTGAACCGACTTGACCCCTCAAAGGGTGGGGTCCCTGCCGTAGTTCATTGACTGTGCCAGGGTCCGTGTCCTGAAAACAAACGGGTGTTATCTCAACGATTTGTTCACTTGCCAAGTGCTCCGCCAGCAGATCGAAGACTCTTCTTTTGCAACCCGCTGCTGTGTGGTGTGGGATGTGGGAGTCTTGTCTGCTCACCCAGTGAAGTATTCAATCAACCCTCAGGCCTGCAAATCGAATTGCATGTGAATGGAGCTCTCCAGCAGCATAAAGCATTCACAGGTGTCAATCCCGAATGGTCAGGCATTGTCAAACTCCGCATTCGGATTGACATGCGAATTAAACTGTGAGGAACTCATTCTATTGTGCTGCAAATGTGGATTCCCACGCAAAGCCGGAAAGTGCAGTTTCCTGCATCTCCCAGCACAAGCTAACTGCCAAGGACTGCCTCGTACCCTTCTGGCTGGGCACCTCAGAAGATACTTCATACTTGCAACGGCACGGCCACTCTTGTTTGGAGCTGAAGCTTCTTCTTTATATTGCTGTCATTATGAGCAGAAGCATAGTATGCAGTTGCGACCGGTGGAAGGCAAGACATGACGGACAAGTAGAGACCGAATGCACATGTCGAAGTGCCGAGCCGCACCTGGCTGCAAGACTTAAATCCCCAGACGAAGCGTTGAAACAAAATCTGCAACAGAAACAAGTGCCTTACTAGTAGTAACAGGTGCCTTACTAGTAGTAACAATGTTTGCTATTATTTTAATTCTAATAGCTTTTTGTTACTACCAGTAAGGCACTTGTTACTACTAGCGAGGCACTTGTTACTAGTAGTCTCATAGGCCCGTGCAACAGAAAAGACAAAATCTGGGACCTTTTTGTAGCGTCTCAGTTTCAACCAAATACGGAGGATCAACATACAAGTCGAAAGCCTTTCCTAGCCTTGTTTGCAGTAGTAAGGGGAATTGTCTAAACCTAAGGCGTTCTGAAAACCTTGAAATGATGACTCGCGTGCTTATCATCTCTCTCTCTCTAATATAGTTTCTTAGGTTGGAGGCCACTGCTAGTAGGTTGGAGGCTATTGCTAGTACTTAGTGTATGTTTCCAATCTTGAAGACCTCCGCTCACAGCTCCCAGACCTTAACCGCCTTAAGTAAAGGAAACAAAGAACGACAGGGAATCCAGTATGAGAAGATATCAGAAAATATATTGAATGGACCTGAATTAGAATGTTGCCAAGGAACTCGCTTGATTCCTGTTTCTCAACAGTTCTACAAGGTTTTCAGCAATTGTGCCTTGTGTGTGTAAACATGTACAAAAGGGTACAAGTGCAAATGAGTCAATGGCGATCTTGCAGAATGTCTTCCAGCTTCATGTTGATTCAAAACAGGAGGCAGCGGACATTTATTGTTTTCCAAATATTCCAGGTTTTCAGGCTGACTGGCAAATCTACTTGCACATACTTGCACCTTTCCCAGTATATAATTACATCCATTGATGCCTAATGAAGATCCGGTGGTCTTAAAGAATACCTGTAACGTTCTGCAGCACGTTGACTCCTACCCTCTGAGACCGGCGACGGAGTGCAGTGCTGCATGTGATGATATTCCTGAGGTCAGGGAACAGTGTGTCGAGGGCCTTCCATGGAACATCATGGAACTCTTCCATCACAGAAAGCGGCCCAGTCCTTTGAAGTGCCTTAAGGCTCATCTCTTGAAGTAAGTGAAGGGCTCCGCGCCAAAAGCAATTCCTGTCCTTATGTCATCTGATGCCATCTGACATTCGTATACTTGCCTTTTAAACCTGTCCCGGAAAAAACAGCACAAACATCAAGAAAAAACCGCTGAAGGTTCCCATGGTTCAGAAGAGTCCCTCGGGGTTCAGAAGAGTCTCCGGCCTTCTAGGACTCATGGAAAAGCTACTAGGAACAAGTGCATCGCTACTAGTAACAAGGGCCTTACTAGTAGTAACAAGAAGCTATTAGAAACACTATTTTAACAAATATGTTTTTCTTTGGATTCTATTGACAGCAAAGGCTCACAAGCAGCAATGGCTGCATTGTAGGTTGGTACATCCGGGTGCCTCCAGCTGCCACTCACGAAGCTCAAAATCAATCTGAATGCATTGCATCGATTATCGCTGGAAGTATCCAAGTAAAGCCTGAAAGGTGCAGCCATGCGGCAGAATTGCGTGGTCGAGTTCGCTCAGGAAAGACAGTGCTAAGTCCCAACGACTTCCTTCCTGACAGCCGATGATTCAACTCTCAAAAATGCACTCATATGAGCCGAGATTGATCAATTGCATTCTGCACCTGAGGGTGGACAGGCTACCTATGCCAAGGATCGGAACATGCAGTGATGGCCGCATTATAGACGACAGTGTCTGGCTGTAGGTTGCTGTCCTTGAAGTCTTTGACCAATTCCATCGCCTGTGGCAAGCACAACTTTTGCTTTCGAGAAGAGAAGTTGTTGCCGGCAAATCTTAAGTATACTGATCAATGATAAGCAACTTCACACACGCCATTGAATCCATAGTGCTGGACATATCTGCGTCCAATTTGCTGCCTTCGTCACTCTTCTGAAACAATTACAGTTCAGTAAAGCCCAAGTTCCTGTCAAGTTACGAGTTGCCATTGGCTTGAGGTAGTGCAGGAGCTGATGAGACCACTGTATGTCATCACATCTGTCTCCAAACCTAAAAATCAAAGCATCCAGAAATGCAGAAATTGTCAGGGGCCCTTGAGAACGGACATGCCATGAAATATGATGAGGGGCTTTGGGCCAGAAGCTCTTTCCAAAGCTCCAAAGCCATTTCCCACTGCTGGCACTTTTCACAAACAGCAATGCACGTGTTGTAGAGGATCACCTGAGAAAGAATGTACACCAAATGCAACAGCCTTGATCACTGAGAAATTATCTACTATAGTGTCCACTACCAGACAAAAAAAAAACAACAAGGTCACTTTTCCGCCGGGAAACACTCTTCTGTGATTTAACTCTCGCTTCCCGTAGCAAAACAAGAGCAAACTGCCACCTTGTTTTCAAGTCACATCGAAATTTGCACAGCTATGGCATCGAATGTGTTCATGTTTCTCTTATTTAACAGCCAACGCACCAAGCAAGTCCTGAGATTGAAAGCGACTGGTGGCTAGGGGGCAGGAACCTCGTCAAGCGGCTGAGCCCCTGCGAAACAAGCGTTAGCAGCAGCACCGTACGCAATAACCTCAGCCCGAAAGGCGAAGGACGCAAGCTCCGAACATCCAAGGCCTGAAGCCGTCAGGGAAAATCGTTACCTTAGAATACCTCATATCGATGCCCTTTGCTCCTAATAGCGTTCTTGCTCCTAGTAGCGATGCCAGGAGCCCCTAGTAGCTT